GATCTGGCTGCCGGCTCCTGGGACTTGACTCACTTTTGATGTAGCCAAGCAACCGACACACGCACACGCACACACAAACACACAAACACACAAACACACACAAACACACACACACACAAACACACACAAAAACAAACACACACACATGCAGACAGAACATCCACACATCCCGATTTTGTTTGGTTTCTGTATCCCAAAATATCCTTGTACTACTGTTTATAAAGTCTCCTAGAGGGTTCAGCTACAAACTCTATCGAAACCCCGAAAGGCCCATCAAATCCAACAAATCCTGTTCAATGTTCATAAGACCTTGCATTAACCCTAAACCCTAAACCCCAAACCCCCCCTAAACTCTAAACCCTAAACCCTCAATCTTCAACCTTAAAACCCTAAACCCTAAACCTACTTGGGCCCACGAGCTTCCAAGGCCAATTTGCCGGCAGACGTGCGCTGCCATTCTGCGTGGTGGACGTTGGATCTCAGACCCTCGGTTTCGGGTTTAGGGCCGAGGTTCGGGTTTAGGGCCGAGGTTCGGGGTGTTTCGAGCTTTGGGCCTAGGTTTAGGGCTGAGGTTTTTGGGTTTTCGGGCTTTGGGTGTGGGTTTAGGGCTTTGGGTTTCGGGTTTTGGGTGTGGGTTTAGGGCTTTGGGTTTCGGGTTTTGGGTGTGGGTTTAGGGCTTTGGGTTTCGGGCTTTGGGTGTGAGTTTAGGGCTTAGGCTTTGGGGGGGTTTAGGGTGAGGGTATAGGGCCTATTCTTACAGGCTTAAGGTTTAGGGCTTTGGGTTGGGTCTAGGGAGGGGCCTTTGGGTTCGGACTTTCTAGGTTTTCCGGTAAGGATATAGGAGTTTGGAGTTGTGCGGAGGCATCTGGGGATTGAGGGTTTGAGGCTTAGCTGTTCAGATTGTGCAGGGTGTTGGGCAGTTGTCTGGGAGGTTTAAATGCCAAACCCCCAAACATTCCAGACCCTGTATGATGATGCCGAGCATCAAGAGTTCATATACAGACCCTTTGCGCACGCGGCACGCCTACAAATAGAGCCGTTCATCGCTTTCCGAAATGAGACCGGCGCCTTATCTTCTCTCTGTATCTAGGCTTGGGTTTAGGGTTTAGGGTTTAGGGTCTCCCGGTTTCTTCGACCATGCGCTAGCCAATTTAAAGGGGGCCGGTTTAGGGCTTAGGGCGGCTATGCTCGGCCCCGTCCTCTTTCCAAGGCTTCTGCACGCGTGGCACGGCTGTGAAGACCTACACATACTACGTGGCCCAGCAAAGCCCAGGACAGGACCCTGAACCCTAAACTCTAAACCCTATAAACCCAAACTCTGAACCGTATAAACCCTAAACGCTAAACCCTATAAACCCTAAACTCTAGACCCTAACCCTAAACCCGGATTACGAGTTCTCGTTCCTTAAGCCAATAGAAGCCTGAAGGAATTCATGGCTCACATGCCATACCTCAGCCCCAACTAAGTAAGGATCCCGACAAAGATAGGTTTTTTTGGGATTCGAGGTACCCTAAACCCTAAACCCTAAACCCTAAGCCCTAAACCCTAAACCCTAGGCTCTAGAGCTATAAGAGGGGAAGCCCCCTTCTTCTCGAGGGAACTTGGGCCTTTAACGGCTGCGTCTTAGGACCGTAGCTCCTTGGGTTTAGGGTTTAGGGTTTGGGGTTTAGGGCTTAGGGTTTAGGGCTTAGGGCTTAGGGTTTAGGGTTTAGGGTTTTAGGCTTAGGTCCACTTCTTTCTTACTCCTGCACTACCTTAAGGACCCTAAACTATGGGACGTATGGTATAATTTTCTTATGGGTAATGCAGGAGTTATATCATCAACCGTATGCCAGGATCACGAGTGGATCTTGGATTGATGCATTTCGAGGTTAGGGACATCTTGATCTCAGTCCTCGTGGAACCCTACGACCCTCAAACTCCCACAGCTTCAGCTGCTTTCATCGAAGCTCTGGCGGAGGAGCCGAGATCCCCCCCAGAGCGTTGGCCGTCCTGCAGCAAGTGCCTTGAGCATTTTGAGTGCGAGTTTGCGATTTAGGGGTTTCCGAAAATAGGGGACCCTAGCATAGTACCCTAAATAGTAGGATCCTTATTATAAGGACCCCAAATTAAGGTATCCCTTATTTACGGAAACTCCCATTTAGGGGTGGGTTTCAGGGAATGCGAATCAAGGGCGTGGGAGTTCGGATCTTTGAGTTCAGGGTAGTGTTCGTAAGTTCGATTTGGGGATGACCGCTTTATGTATCGCACCCGCCGGAAAGTCTAGCAAGCACAACCCATCCTATGCCCTAAGACCTACACCGGAAGCCGCTTCGCCCCAAACCCTGAACCCCTAATCCCTGACCTCACGAAGCCCTTTATAAGGTTTCTCGAAAAGGCCCATAATACTGTAGAGCTCTGAACACCTTAAGGACGAAATGAACCCTAAAAGGGTTTAAGGTTCATATACCATATAGGGATTCATAGTATAAGGGTATAGGGCCCCTACATTTAAGGGTCATTTCGTCCTTAAGGCAAGTAGCCCCCAAGAGGATCAAGGGTTCCAAACCCCCAGTGGGGATGCACTTGGGAGACGGGTTCCGCTGAAACCGAAACCTTAAACCATCAACCCAAGCAAGCCCATTTACAACGGTAAACCCTCAACCCAGGTTTAGGGGTTTATGGTTGGGGGGTTTAGGGTTTACGGTTCAGGGCCCATACGTCGTAATCCCAGCGTCGCAAACTCCAACAAACGAATATGCTGCGCCCCAACCCCAAAGCGGGACCCAAAGCCCAGGCCACTTGGTTCCTCCCTCCAGAGAAGTCACGCCTAGACCAGGCCGCCGTTGAAAATAGATCAGGGTTCAGCGTTTGGGGGTTTAGGGTTCTTGGTTCTTGGTTCATGGGCTGTAGCTTCAGCGACAAACAGAGTTTTAGGGTTATGGTGTCAGCGGCATTCGGGGCTGTTGCGGCTTTTGGAGGTTTTGGGTTGAAGTTTAGTTCAGGGTTTAGGAACCAGGTTTAGGTTGGCTTTGGAAAGACAAGGTTGTCAGGAGTTCTAGGGTTCATTGCGCCGGTTCAGGAAGAGCAGCACCCAAGCCAATCATTGTGAGCATCAGCCGCGGCAGCTACCACTCAAGGCACCACCTAGGGCGGGATTCATAAACGCGTTCGAAGGAGCCGAGCATCATGAGAATCAGCCGCGGCAGTTGCCACCCAAAGCGTCACCCAAGCATCATCAGCATCAACAGCGGCAGTTACCACCCAAAGCACAACCCCAGCCGACCATCATGAGCATCAGCCGCAGCAGCTACCACCCAAAGCACCCGCCACCGAGTGTCATGAGCAACAGCAGCAGGTACCACCCAAAGCATCAGCCGCGGCAGTTTGAACCGAGGCACGACTCAAGCCGAGCATCATGAGCATCAGCTGCGGCAAGTGTCATTTCCCGAACCGCCCCAAGCGAGCATCATGAGCATCAGCCGCGCAGTTCCCGCCACCTACGCCTCACTCATGCCGAGAATCATGCAAGCCGGGAGTCATCACAAAATGCAAAGAGGACCCCAACATTTTGCGCGATCAGCTCCAGCAAGCGTGCTGGACTCATGACAAGAGGCCAAGCAGTGCCGAGCATCATCACCGTCAGCCGCCGGCATTGCCCCCCAAACCACCACCCAAACCGAGCATCATGACAACAACATGCCAAAAGGAACCCAGCATCATGAGCATCAGCCGCTGCTGCTACCACCCGAAGCACCACCCCATGCGAGCATCACCAGCACCAGCAGCTCAAATACTACAGTATGCCTTGAGGGTTTTGTACTATAATTACCATAACTATACGATGATATACCCCAAAACCATCCAAAAACCCTGGGTCGACTTATTATGGCTTTTCGGATAGTAGGAACTGCCTGAACCCTAGACTCTAGACCCTGAAGCCTAAACTGTCTACCATCCATAAAAAGCAGCCCTGAACCGCTGGTATTTAGGGGAGTGCACGGTAGGTACTCGCACCCGTGGGATCTGAGAATTTGACGACTTAGGGGGGAGTCAGGTTAATTTTGTAAGCTGGTTTATGGGTCATGGGTTCAGGGTTTATGGGTTTAGGGTTTATGGCTTTGTGCGTTTAGGGTACTGGGTTTAGGGTTCATGGGTTATGGGTTTGGGGTTATGGGTTTTGGGTTTAGCGTAAGCTTTTATCAATTTTTATAGGGCTTCTGTAACCCTACCATGACTACAAGGTAAACCATACATTTGGGTCAAGGAACGCAGCAAATTTGTCCGACGCGGGGCTGCTTTGAGGACTGCAATTACCAGTGGGACTTACTGGGTCACTTGATACCCTAAACCCTACCAACCCCCTCGAACCTTAAACCCTAAACCCTATACCCTACCAACCCTCTTTAAAAGTCTACATGCCTTCATTGAAAAAGTCTACATGCCTTCATTGAAAAAGTCTTCCAGAAAGCGGTCAGAATCACCGACTTCTGAGGGTCCCCCTCAGCCCTCAAGCGACCCAAGAGGCTCACCCCTAAAACCTAAACCCCCACACCCTTAGACCTTACCTGGACCCCAAAAGTATGTACAATAGTAGCCCTTTATATAGATGTTGGGCCATTTTGTTACCTATTTTGGGGAGGTTTTGGGTAAACCTTAAACCCTAAAGCCTCGACCCGGTGCATCCCGAGACCCTAGGCCTAGACAGGCGCGCATGAAAGCTGCGGCTGCGCAGCTTGTGGGACGACATGACTTCTGTGCATTATCCTCGGCATCCGGTGGGGAGGCCGCAGCGTTTGTTTCTTCTCGAGTCTTTAGTACATTGATGTAGAGTTTTGAAGAATTCTTAGAAGAATCCTTTTTACGTGTTTGCATACATCCACTAACTAGGAGATGCCCCTACAGGGCTTTAAGGCTCTCGGATGGAGCTGGATGTTATAGCCAGACCGCCAGAACCCAATGAACTTGCCCCTAGACCATGAACTATCCATCCACTTGGCCACACACGCCCATGACCCTAAACCTTGAACCTTAAACCCTAAACCCCAAACCGTCTCGCCTAAGCCCCTAAACCGCAAACCTGAACCCCGAGTCGATCTTCGACCGGAATTTCTGGGAACCTAAACCCATATTACTATAGGGGCCTTAATAATTAGAATAGGGTTTGGGGCATATTCTACTATAGCTATAATAAAGAGCCCCCCAAACCCTATTCAAATTATGAAGGCCTCTCTATCACGTTTAAATAGGGCCCCACACAAGGCCAAAGGGCGAAACCCGAATGCCATCAGGTGCCCTACCCGTTTAGCAATGGAGCCTAAGAATACCTGATCCCCAAAGCCCTAAACTCTAAACCTTATAAGCCCTCCTAAACTCCCTGAACCCTTAGACCTTTAAACCCTAAACCCCAAGCCCCAAATCTGAACTCTGAACCCTAAACCTTAAAAGCCCCAAACCCCCCAAGCCTTTAAGCCCTAAACCCCAAACCCCAAACCCTGAACTCTAAACCCTAAACCTGCATCCCTAAACCCTAAAGCTTATAATATAAGCCCTAAACCCTTAAACCTTTAAGCCCTAAACCCTAAACCTTTATGGATCTCAGAGCCGTCAGGGCTCCACCACTCGCCAGCTGATTGCTTTGGAGGTAGAGCTCCTCGAGCAGGCCCAGCTACTGGGCCTCGTCTTCGACGCGTTTTAGGGCTTACGGTTTAGGGTTTAGGGTTTGGGGCTTTGGGTTTAGGTTTTAGGGTTTAGGGTTTAGGGTTTTAGGGCTTAGGGTTTGGGATTTAGGGTCTATAGGGTTTAGGGTTTACGGCTTAGGGTTTAGGTTTTAGGGTTTAGGGTTTAGGGGTTTAGGGTTCATGAGGAGCTAAGTTGGAAACCTAAAGCCCTTCGTGAAAATGAGTACGTAAGCAAACAAGCAAGCAAGCAAGGAAGTAAAGGAGGAGCTTAGCACGTAAGCAGGTCAGCAAATCGTGGGTAAAGAGCAAATATATCAACAGGTCAACAGTAAGCACCACACCCTTATTTCCCCCGGTCCCAAGCACACGCTTAGCCCCGCCCACCCCCACCCAGCCCCCATCCTATCCCAACCGGCCAGCGCCAGATTCAATATATGGTTCCAAAAAAAACTTTCGGTCAAAACTCGGTCAAAACTTATTAGCACCCAAACCCTTAACAATTGCTATACACCGCAAACCTTAAACCCCAAACCCTAAACCCTAAACCCCAAACCCTCAAACCCCAACCCCAAATCCCAAACCTTAAACCCTAAACTAAGTGAGGGGT